AGGGGAGGGGAGGGGAGGGGAAGAGGAGGGTCCGCGCCCCCAGACAGGCCGCTTGAGGAATAAGCGTGGAGACGGGTTCTTTCACCTGAGCATCACCCCTTAAAACACTCCTGAAGCGCCGCTCTCGCACCTCCACGTCCCAGCGACTATTTACTCGCAGCTGCTTTTTCCTTTTACAGAAACCTGATTCATCCCACCACGGCTCCGTGTCCTTCCTCAGCGCACAGCATTTAGGTGACTCTTGGACACACATGTACACAGAAGATCCGTGTAGTAACACTATGATGCATTGCAGCCGTATTTGTCTTTTTATTTTCTGTTGCTTAGCAGGCCAAAGGAAGAGTCACGGAATCACAGAATTGTTGGAGTTGCAAGGGACCTTCTAAAGATCATCCAGTCCAATCCCCCAGCCAAAGCAGGGTTGCCCAGAGCACATCACTCAGGACAGCATCCAGGTGGGTCTTGAAAATGTCCAGGGAAGGGGACTCCACACCCTCCCTGGGCAGCCTGTTCCAGGGCTTTCTCATCCTCACTAGAAAGAAGTTCTTCCTCAGATTTGAGTGGAACTTCTTATGTTCCAGCTTGTGCCCATTGCCCCTCATCCTGTCCCTGGGAACCACTGAAAAGAGTCCTCCTCCATCCTCCTTCAACCCACCCTTTAGATACTTGTCAGCATTAATAAGGTCTCCCCTCAGCCTTCTCTTCTCCAGGCTAAAGAGTCCCAGCTCTCTCAGCCTTTCCCCATAAGGGAGATGCTCCAATCCCTCAATCTTCTCTGTTGCCCTACGCTGGAGTCTCCCCAGTAGTTCCCTGTCTCTCTTGAACTGGGGAGCCCAGCACTGGACACAGTATTCCAGTTGTGGCCTCACCAGTGCAGAGTAGAGGGGGAGAATGACCTCCCTGGACCTGCTGGTGACACACTTCCCTATGCAGCCCAGGATTCCACTGGCTCTCTTGGCGACAAGGGCACATTGCTGGCAATGTCCTTACAGAGAGCTTTCGGAGAAAGATTCCTCCTTCCCAAAGCCCCTTTAATGCTAGTGCCGCGGATTTTAGGAATACTTTTTCCTTGTACTTCAGTTGCTACAGCCATAACATCTTACCTTGTTTCTGTTGCTTGGTTACTCACAGAAGTAGAATCCCTCTCCAAGTTTTGAAAAGGAATCAGAACCATGAACTATGTCAGTACAAAAGCAACCTAGGGAGTTACCACCACAGAGGTAACAAAACCAGGTTTTTTTTTGCCTTGTCCTTACTGCTCCCTTTACACTGCATTCACTTACTAGTCCCAGTCATGAAACGTGTGTCTTTCAAAAGAAATGGAGGGATTGCTTCAGGTCATACTAAACAGTTGCATGCCACCTGCAACCAATTACTCTTTTTGCTTTCCTTCTTTTAATTTAAATAGTTCTCCTCTTAAATTACTGCAGAGGATTTTTTCAGCTTTCTCCTTCTAAAGGCAAATAGAACATAAGGATATTTTTCTCTATATTTCCCAAACAAGACCTATTCACCATTTCTTAGCTCATGTGCATTCACTGAACTGTTGCTCTGAGCAGCATATTTGTCATAACTTAATGTGGAAGAATACAATAGGAGAGAAAAGTGAAATAGGCGTAATGGAGTCTCCCAGTATTATTGTTGTTTTCTGGCGTTATCCTCTTTCATGTTCCAGTTGCTACCTGAAACTGGCTTCTGTTCAGCTTGAAGGACTGTTACACGATCCATTTTGGGGGAGCTCAAACCCTTAAAATGGGGTTTCTATGGTCTCTCCCAAGACCATTCTCTGCCTTTCTAATCGCAGAATCACAGAATCTTCATGATTGGAAGGGACCTTTGAGATCATCGAGTCCAACCACAAAAAATAAATATAAAAAAACCAAAACAAACCCATACCAAAAAAACCCACAAACAGACACAACCCAACAATCTCAGGCACTAGAGCATGCCCTGAAGTGCCACGTCTACACATTTCTTAAATACCTCCAGGGATAACAACTCCACCACCTCCCTGGGCAGGCTGTTCCAGTGCCTGACCACTCTCTCAGTAAAGTAATTCTTCCTAATATCTAATTTAAACCTCCCCTGCTGCAACTTCAGACCATTTCCTCTGGTCCTGTCATTATTTCTTTGGGAGAAGAGGCCAACACCCACCTCTCTACACCCTCCTTTTAGGGCCAATGAGGTCCCCCCTCAGCCTCCTCTTCTCCAAACTAAACATGCCCAGTTCCCTCAGCCTCTCCTCATAGGACTTGTTCTCTAGACCCCTCACCAGCTTGGTGGCTCTCCTCTGGACACGCTCCAGCAGCTCAATGTCCTTCTTGTAGTGAGGGGCCCAAAACTGAACACAGCATTTGAGGTGAGGCCTCACCAGTGCCCATCATTGCCCTACTCCTGCTTGCCTGTTCCTGTTACAGGCCAGGATGCTCTTGGTCTTCTTGGCCACCTGGGCACACTGCTGGCTCATGTTCAGCCGGCTGTCCACCAACACCCCCAGGTCCTTTGCTGCCAGGCAGCTTTCCAGCCACTCTTCCCCAAGCCTGTAGCATTGCCTGGGATTGTTGTGACCGAAATACAGGACCCGGCACTTGGCCTTATTAAACCTCATCCCATTGGCCTTGGCCCGTTGATCCAGTCTGTCCAGATCCCGCTGGAGTGCCTTCCGACCCTCAAGCAGATCAACACTCCCCCCTAGTTTGGCATCATCTGCAAACTTACTGACAGTGCACTCAATCCCCTTACCTAGATCATCAATAAAGATATTAAACAATACTGGCCCCAAAACTGAGCCCTGAGGGACACCACGGGTGACTGGCCACCAACAGGATTTGACCCCAGTTCATTCAGGAAACTGACTTGTCTGAAAAAGTTAATATATTTGGTAAAGATGATCTTCACCATAACGAACTCCCTAAATTAACTCATGCAGTCACACAACCACCACTGCAAGGGAGAAGAGCTGGGACTAGAGCAGACCAGATGTACGTCTGCTTGAGATAGTGGGGAAACAAGCTCACAGGCCCCTTCGTTCATCCTGTGTAGGGCCTAGAAACACTAAAAAGCACCAGGAAGTTGCTCCCACCCTGTGCGCCCTGATACAAAGGCAATTACCAGTAGTCCAAGGCTGCTGGGTATAGGCTTCAAAGATCAAAAAGCAGTATATATAAAATGTATATATCAGCAAATGCTCCTTGCAATAATTTACAATTGACATGTAAGTTCTCATTTCACAGCAACAAAGGTGTGTTGATTAGCCAAGATATGGCTCCCCGCATTAATGTTTCACTTGTATTGAAGAATAGGCTGGAGCCCGTCCAGCGCGTAAAAGATGGGAGAAACCCGAGCTGCAAGACCACAAAGTTTAAAATAACCTTAAACAGAAGATCAAAAAGAAGCAGGCCATTCTGAAAAAGTAAAAAGGAATAGGCAGGTCTTCACACTGCCGGGATGTTGAATTCTAAAGGACAATGGCCAAAGATGGAGTGCTGCTGTACAAGTTGCTCTTTCGCATTTCGTAGCTGCACCATGTCTTAAGAGATCAATAGAACCAACCAAAAACACTCAGAATTTTGTTAAGCAGCATCTAGAATTGTTTTAGACTCTCTCCTGCTGTAACACTGCTTTGCTAAAATTAAATCTTAACTACAAAACTGAAAAACATAATGTAAATCTTGTTGTTTTCCCTTTCAAGCTTGCCTGGCGTAAAAAGTAAGGCCAGAAAGAGAAAATAAACTTAAATCATCTTCCCTGCCATCAAGACTAAGGGACAAAGTCTTTCAGTGCTCCCCATGTTAATGTAAGTGATTTAACTACCAGGCTTATCCATTTTGTGAATTCGCAATTCACAATTAATGGCCTAGTGCTACAGGAATAAAGCCAATAGGAAAGTTCATGCAAACCTCACAGACACTATCACCCTCATCCCAGTTTCTCACATCAATCTTGAATTTATCCATCATCCAATTTAATAACTAAATCAGCGAGCACATGTAGCCGCAGTTACAGAAGTGTGGCTCTGACACCAACTCATCCATACATTTTTTCACATCCTTTACATTTTTCCCTTTCATAATGCACATAAATGCACATACAATAGCTCTTGACAGAACTCTAACTCAGCAGTGACTTAATTTACAAGACAGTAAAAATGGTTTATGTTGTTACTGTTAGCATATTATTTTCAGTCTTCACAGTTTAGCAAAATTAAGATCATGCAAAAGCAGTCTCATTGCTTTCTACTGGTTTTTAAAGTGTGTTGCAGTCACAAAAAAATAACTCGGTTCTTCTTTAACTGTCAAAAATATTAAAATTTTCAGTCCCAAAGCAGTGGTCCCAGAGAAATCGATGAATGCAAATGCATTTAAAAAAGGAAGCACAAACAGAATATACTTGGAACATACTTACAAAGTTCTGGTCTTCTGAAGTAAAAAAGTGTATAAAGAATAAAAGCAGGTATCTGTTTTTGAACTGTATGTCTTTAAAGTGTCCTTAGGCATCTCCTCAGGACTGGTGCGGTTTGTAGGACATTACTGGAGACACTGGCAGAACTGGTGATACTGGAATTGTAGTCAACACCTGATTCTGGAACATAAACATTTTAATCCTGCCAAACATCCAAAGAAAAATTAGGAGAATGCTGACATACTGGATCCAGGCAAATTTAATCATTTCCCAAAATCCTGGCTGATATTTAAAGAAAGTCAAGGAGTTTTAACAAAGAAGCTTCTGATATTACCACTGCAATAACTAAATAAAGGAACTCAGACGTGGAAAGGCACAAAACTCGTGGGGAGTTTTTTGTGGGGAAAAAAAAAATCCAGGTCTGTTTGAACAGACAATCTGTAATGGATTTGCCACATCCACTGAGGGATGATTATGTGGTGAGCTTACCTTGCATACAGATGTCTAATGCTTTGCTTTAGGTCACAGAATACAGTACCATGCTATGCTAGTGGCATCCATGACAGATTGGGACAGCGGGTGCTGCAGGAGCAAAGTGAGACTTACGTTCTCAGGATATTCACTGTGAAATGGCCAAGAAACTGCCTTAAAGGCCAGTTAAGCCAGGCTGAAAAAGCAACACAGGTTCCCAGTGGAAAAAAGGCAAAAAGTGGCTACGCAAGCAGAACCATCTGGGGGAACCAGCAAATAGAACTATAGCAATTGCTTAGGTACCAATGGAAAAGTTTAGCAGCAAATCTAGAAGAAAAGTTCTCATTTGGCCTATATGTAACAGCCCAAATAATGCAACCCAGTTATGTCACGTTATGCAGTTTTCAAAGGATATAAGATAACTTCCACTGGGTAACGAATAGTGGCATTAATGATAAATGGTGTATCTGCTGCTCTTCCAGTCATCCAAACAGGGTTGGGATCTGAAAAGACGGTTGTCACTAAAGTGGGGAAAGGAAACATCCGGGTTAAGGGGCTTTTCAGTCTTAGGACAGAACTCAAATCCTCACAGAACAGCTGCCAATAGCTAACTACTGCTGTCCTGCAATTCCCAGCTACACGTTCAGGCTTACCATTTCTCTCCCAGTAGGCTGCAATAATGTTCATTAGATCATAGTCACTTGCAAAAGGACTTGTGCCATTGACCACAGACACCTACAGCAAGGAGACACCTGCGTTATTCCTCCACTCTTCAAGAAAGTATTTCTACCGAGTTTGTTACCCAAAGTAATCATGCCCATGAAGGAATGCACACGAACATCAGACTGAACATCTTGGCAGAATAACCTCTTCCACCTCTAGCTTAACAAGAAAACATCAGTTCCAAAGAAGAGTACAAAGCAAGAGTACAAATAATTAGGGTACCACCCATCCTGCTAGGAGGATAAAAGGGTGGGAAATTGACGGGGAAGGAAAAAGGTTTCCTCACATTGTATCTGGTATCCAGTCCACAATAGTTAAGTAGTTGCCTCTGGTTCAATTTCAGGTCTCCATTCATGTAGAGCTGAGACCCTGGCACAGGAGAAAAAAACTGAAGAAACGCCATGCTCTGCATCACAAATGTTGACATTCTCTGAAATGGAGAACACGAGAAATGAGAATTTAGGGGGCAAGGGAAACACAATACACTTTTCTACCTCTTTGTATCTAGAGATTATCTGCATGGATTTGATTTTTTTCTGGCTCCCAAGCTTCAGATCATTACAGTATTCTAAACTAGGGAACCTCAAGTAAGAAATATTAATTACTTCTTTTTTTTTTTTTTCAAGTGAACTACCTTAGTTGTTAGTTAGCTAACTCTATAAACCAAAGTTCCACAAGAAAGTTAGTGAAGGCCAACAGCACGTGGCTAATGACAATTTGACTTGCCATAATACGCAAAAAGCAGCAAGATGCTTAAACACATTCATTGGAGACACACTTTAAAATATGCAGGAGTCAAAGCCAGCTAAGGACTCCTGCTCTGCAATAAGAACCAAACAAGGAAGTTACTTAGACCTTACTACCACTCCATCTGGAGGAAAATTTTCACTTTTACTGTACAACAAATGTGTTGTGAATATTGAAACTCTCTGTGATACTACTCACTGACCTAATACTTCAGCACAAATTAAGGACTGTCACAGCAAATAAAAGTAAAAATGCTCACATAAAGATGGTAGGAAAAGAGTAGAATCAGCTGAACACCAACTATGTGCTCTGTAGGTTGTAGTGGAAGTTCCAGTTTAAAATGCAACTGATCCATTTTGCCATCTTGATTTTTGTCTTCCTCTCTAGCCTAAAAGAATCAATAAGGTTTTTTTTAGAGGAGAACTTCCTTTAGAAAGAAAAACAACTGCAGCATGCACATACTAAAGAAGCAAATAAACTGCGTAGATAAGAAGGCAATAAAAAGCTGCTTGACTTCATAGATACAGGGTGAGACAAGCAAGAAGCCTTTAATTTGGTCTGTTATACAATGTCTCATATGCCCCCCCCAGAGAGAGAAAGCTCTTCAAGGTCTCTTCTGCCCTATGCCCTTCCAACCACCTTCCCTGCATGCTAAAAGTCATGCCTTAGTGCTGGATCTTCTGTCACATCCTGTGCAAACATGCCACTGACCATCAGGCTTTTGCCTCTTGCCATTGCAACCTGCCTCTTAACAGCTTCTGTATGCCAATTCCTGGTTGTGAGCCAAGGTTTGCTACGCTTCTGCCCCACAAGTGCCCAGCACTCCAGCTATTTGCAAAAGTAACAGGACTCTTAACAGAGGTAATGCAGAAAAATAACTGCCACTGTTGAAGCCCAGAAGCAACAACAGCTGCAGGGCAGAGGCTATGTGCTTTCGGAAGCACAGACTGGCTTTCAAACCCAAGGGCCACCTACTAATCCCTGCAAACTTAAGATCATAATAAGCCACATGGCGGGGGGTAAAGTAGGTAGGACAACCAATTTGAGGGAAGTAACTGATGTGTTCACACAAACCATCAGTGGTGCTCAGGGACACAGTTTAGTGGTGGACATGGTAGTGTCAGGTTAATGGTTGGACTCGATGATCTTAAGGGTCTTTTCCAACCTAAATGATTCTATAACACTGAGAGGGAGTAAAACCGGACTGGTGAAAAATCACATGTCCCAGGCGAATTTTGGTGTGAGGCACAATGTTATGTGTGAACCTGCTGCTACCGGGCGGCAGCAGTGCGTGACAGGCCGCCTGCTCACAGGCACCGCCGACACTCGTCCCCTGCTCCCACTCTCCAGCCCTCCTGCCCCCCGCCGCCGCGGGCAGGCCTACCGACAGGAGCGGGACCCGCAGCCGGTCCTCCTGCAGCCTGTTGAACGCCGGGAAGGTGCTCCACGCCAAGAAGCTGCCCGGGCCGGAGCCGATGGTGGCCACGAAAAGCACCTCGTACCGGAACCGTACAGTGGGCTGCTCCCGGTACGAGCTCTGCTTCAGCCAGAAACCTGCGGGTAGAGACAGCGCCAAGGCCTCAGCACCGCGCCGGGCCGGGCGGGCCGGGGTAGGGTGGTGCGGCCCTCACCGTGGCTCCGGTAGGCCACCAGCAGCGGCGGCACGTAAGTAAGCACCGTGATGAGCGCCAGGGCCAAGGCGGCGGCGGAGCAGAGCCCGGCCCGGTAGCGGGTGTGGAACGCGGGGTGAGAGAACAGCTCCACCACCGCCATGACCCTCACCCTGGCAACGGCGGAGCGCCGGACTGACGGGACGCCCAGCCTATCAGACGAGGGGAGGGCGGGCGCGCCAGCCAATGAGCGTCCACCGCCCGCATTCCGGGACCGGCGGTTGCGGAGAGGCGAGAGAGCGGCCGAGAAAGGCAGCGGGACGGAGCCGGGGGACTCCCGACGCGGCGACGGAGCCCGCGATGAGGCTTCGAGCGCTCCCGGGAAGGCCTCGGGCAGCCGGTGACGGTGACGGCGCGGCCGGCTGCTCCCACCCCGCCCCTCGCCGGCCCGGCCGGAAGCGCTGCGTTTCGGGGGGTTGCTAGGGTAACGGGCGAGCCGGAAGTCCCGCCTGCCGAGCCGTGGCTGCTGTTGTTGTTGTGACAGGGCTCGGTGACAGCCACAGGCCCGGCCGCCCGGCAGAGCCCCCGCCCGCCCGCACACCGGGCCCTCCCGCCGCTGGCTCCGCTCCCCGCCGGCCCGCGCCATGAAGTGGATGTTCAAGGAGGATCATGCGCTGGGTAAGGGTGGGCCCGGGCCGGGCGCTGCCCGCCGGCGGCCCCGCCGCCTCCTCCTCCTCCTCCTCCTCCTCCTCCGCTGCCATCGGCCCCGCGGCCTCCCGCCTCTGCGCGCCCCGCTCGCCTCCCCCCGGCCGGGGGGGGGTGTCTCCTCTCTGGGGGGGTCAGCCGCCCGCGGCTCTCGGCGAAGGGCGGCGGTGATGGCCGGGGACGGCCTCCCTGAACGGCTGGAGACCCCCGCGGGGAGGGCACGGCGGTCGCGGTCCCCGCAGGCTCCGTCCCCGCGGGCGCTGCCCTCCCTGCCCAGGACACCGGCGATGCTATTGCTGTGCGGTGACTAATGACGAGTTTTGTTCGCAGAGCACAGATGTGTCGAGTCGGCAAAAATCCGAGCCAAATACCCTGACCGTGTCCCGGTGAGTAACCACACCAGCTTCATCTCAGCGCTCGGAGGCAAAGGTGGAGAAGCTGTTTCCATCCAGGCCTCTCTTCGTTGATCAGATCCTACTAAGTAAATTCATCTTGCTTTTTGCGCCCTTAGGTGTTTTTAGAGAGGCCCCAAACACACTAATCCAACACTGGCCCCTCGGCCCTGGTGCATATTGACAAGTAAACAAGAGCACCTGACTTTCTGAACACTTCCCAGGCACGTTTATGGTTTATCAGTGCCCTGGTTTCTTCTAATGGCAATTATAGCCCAGAAAATACCTTCAGTGTATTGAGGATTCGTTCTGTGCCTGATTCTAAGAGAGATCATAAACTGTTTCAACCTTGTCAATCTTCCATCCTGGTTATATAAGGAAGGTGATTTTCCCTCATGTATTCCATGCCTGTGACCAGTCTTATCGTGGTGAATCTCCCCCCACGCAAACCCTGTTGTTTGAAGAGCCAGTGCAAGTGGTGACCCCTCTTTTCTGGATTAATACCTACCTACCTACCTGCTAAATAGTGGATGACCTCTCTGCTTCACTCTGCAATCCCTTTTATCGTGTTTCAGTCAGTGGAATGACCACACTTCACATCCCTATGTAATGGGCTGGCAACACGGCCACATTCTCAGCTTACCTGCTTGTGAGTAAAATGTCTCCCATCCCATCTGAGCACGCAGGTTAATGCCACTCCTCTCCCACCTCTTCGTAAATAACTTACCCAACAGACAGCACAGCCCAGGGAAGAATCTCTAATCCCATTGACTTGCTCTGCTGCTGAGTTGCAGCTACTCATAGCATCCTCCCCAGTGCAGTCTGGCAAGCTGGAACGATCCGTGCCACTCCCTGCATGGCTAACCACCCCCTGAGCTATGGACTGTAGCATGCCAATGACCCTACATCTCCACACATACCCATTCGTCCAATCCATAACACTAGGGAAAAAAAAAAGATCGTGAAACTCATAGTGTGAGTCAGAATTACCTGATGCTGTATCAGGAATGGACAGCAAGGGGGGATGGATACAGGAATTAAATCTCACATCGCAGTGTGATGCTTTGTCTGGGATGATACATGTTTTCTTCTTAATGATTCAGGTTGAGCCACGTACCTTTCACAAAATTGTTGGCATCAAATATATTTTTGGTATCTAATAGTCAAAAAAGGTTTTCAGACTTAATGTATGTTTCCTGCTTTCCAGGTTATAGCCTGCATCCAGAGTGACATAGGTCAAAGTGACTTCAGTTCTCAGCTGCTGTGTCTGTCTACCTGGATTTAGAGATGTTGCAGTGGTTCAACCCTATTAAGATAAAATATGAACAGCCCGCCTCTGTCCTAGGCTAGACTTTTTAGGAATAAAATAGTAGGTGAAAGAAATTCATGCTTACTAAGCACTGCGATTTTAAATTTGCCTGTGGAATCAAGTGGTCTGAAAGGGTTAAAGGTATCTATAAGTTTTACTGGAAGCAGTTCACCAACAGCCTTGATTTCCATTATGACAGTTTCTGCTAAAATCCCTGGTGTGTTGTTGTAATCTTAAAAAAAAAAAAAAAGTATCAGTTGTTAAGGCTTCAATATTCCTTTCAGGCTATTCTTGCTCCTCTCTACAGTTCCCTCACACTAAATTGCAATGGGCAGCTCCTACGCCCTCCTTCTGTTTCTGTAGGCAGAGCTGAAGGAATTATAAGGAAAACCCTACCCTAAGGTAGCATATTTTGTAAATTTACTTGCGCATTACCTGTATCCTGTAGCAATGGGGAATGCAGAGCTAAGGAATGGAGACACTGGAACCTCTTGTAAGCCTTATTTCCCCACGTGCTGAATTTTTCCTTCAAGAACTAGCCTGTGTGGAGCAGTAAGTGTCAGGTCCTTTCCAGAAGTAATACTTAATTCTCCTTCTTCATGTACCTGTTGCTTTTTGTTTCGCTTTCTTTGTGGCCATCTTTCCTTCCTTCAGCCAATTTCTAATTTCCTAACCTATGAAGTAAGATATTCTGTCAGTTCAGCATAATACAAAGCAGAGAATGGTACCAGTGAGCGGTACCGTGACAACAGTAACACACTGGAACAAACAAGCGCCGTAGAGTGCAGTTAGTTATATTTAGAATAACGCGTATAAAAAAAAGAATATCTGCTTTCCAGTGATGAAATCAGTATGTTCTTGAAGACCTGGGTCTACAGACATCCTAAAAGAGGGATTAACATAGGAAGTCTTTTTTTCAAAGTTGCAAACAAAAGCCTGTTGATGCTGCAAACATCATCTTACCTCGGCATCTCCGCTGGGGTTCCTGCTTTCTGTTACCAAACGCTCCCAGAGCAGAAGATGGCCAAGTTCCTGTGGTGGCCTAGTAGCATAAGCATGGGTTGTGATTTTTTTTATCATTAGTAATTATTTTATTTTTTTTCCTCACGGTCTATATATCCCATCTGGTTCTCATTAATATATAGCTAAAACCTGCACTTTGTTAGTATGGTATCACTCTCATTCTGTAACTTCATCCAATCAGCTGAAGCTGTAACCATACGGTTTTTAACATCAGGTGTGTACATTGCTGGATTATCTGGCAGTGTAAGTCTGGTACGGCATGAGGCACACAGACAAGGTCACATCACAGCACCTTTCTGATGATTTGGTGGAGTGCCCAACTGGCATCCTTGGCAGGCAGCTGGTACCCCAGAGCTCTCACAGCCACGCTTCAGCGCTTGAGCCTGGCTGAAGTGCTTGGTGGCTAGCTGTGGGAAGGCAGTAATTGTTGCCAGGTTAATTACAGAAATGCAGAGAGCACGGATGTCAAATCAGAAGCAGTACTGCAAAGCACTGTGCAAAAATGAACGTGTGGAACTGCCAGAGTTTTAACTGTGTTCAGATGTAATACAGCTCCTCCAGCTCTGCACTGAGTGACCTGAAGCGTGCCCGTGCCTCTCTCTGCTTAGCCTGACAGCGTCTGACACACTGGTATGGGTTCTGTGATGGTACAGTGTGCTGCACGGATGAATACAAAAGGCTTCAGGGAGGGAAAAGGAAAAAAAAAAGCATTAATGAATACTCTAATGCTCTAGACGGAAGCCTGGGAGCCATTTTGGCATCTCTGGCTTGTGCACAACAGGTGAGATGGCAGATTAGATGCTGGACTAGGCTGGTGGGTCTCCCATTTACCTCAATACCAATTTTTTAGCTTCAATGTTACTGAAATCTATTTCTAATATTTCTTCCTTTTGTTTTCTTTTGCTGTATGCCATAGCAAGGCAGCTGGTTCTGTCATCTGTTAGGAGCAACTTGGGACATTGTTTAAAGAAGACAGTTAAGCTGGAAGGGTGGAGCTGTTGTGTTTATTAAACCTGTATTTCTTCATATTGTGGGACACTATTTAGTCATATGACAATTTAAAAGAGGATAGGGCATGCTTGTTGCAAACTAGAATTCTGTGTAAAACAAAACTTCAAGCAATGATGGTCACAGGTGTGTGTCCTGTGAGGAGCAGCTGAGGGCTCTGGGTTTGTCTAGTTTGGAGAAAAGGAGGCTGAGGGGTGACCTCATTGCTCTCTGCAGCTTCCTGAGGAGAAGACGTGGACAGGAAGGTGCTGAGCTCTTTTCCCTGGTATCCAGTGACAGGACACATGGGAATGGGGCAAAGCTGCATCAGGGGAGGTTCAGACTTGACATTAGGAGGCATTTCTTTACTGAGAGGGTGGTCAGACAGTGGAACAGGCTTCCTAGAGGTGGTTGGTGCCCCAAGCCTGTCAGTGTTTAAGAGGCATTTGGACAATGCTTTAATTTTCGGCCAGGGCAGTTGGACTAGATGGTTGTAGGTCCCTTGCAACTGAACTATTCTGTTCTACTTTCTTTTTACATTGCAATAACGACATAAACAAAGTAAGCAGCATCTGTACAAAGGGAATGCATTTCCTCACATCACCTGCCATTGCTGAGGCACCAGCACCGCAGTCGAGTTGAATTTTTCATGACTGCACTGCAGATAAATGGGGCAAGGAAGGAATATGGTTAAATGGATTCCTCAGTTTGTTACTGTCAGCTGGGGTAAGCGAGAAGACAGAAGTCCCAGACTTCTTCCTTCAATCACTGGATAGTTTAAGAGAAGAAGTACACAGAAGCCACTACTAAGCCTTAACTTTTCAGCAGGCGGTTTACCGAAGCTGTTTGTTC